TCACACAAAATCTGCATAATTTTAACCTCAACAAAGAGGATGAAGAAGTTCACAGAGCTATGAGATTTAACAATAGGATATCTGACTGTCAGAGAAGTCAGGGGAAGAAGGTAGTAAAAGTTATGGTTACAAGGTAATTTGGTGATGGGAGAGAGAAGACTCCAAGGCAGAGGTTATAGAATATGCATGGACCCAGTGGCAGGAGAGAGAAAGGAGTATTTGAAGATGGGAAACAAATTGGATGAGGCTGGAACTCACAAAGCAGAGAATGGTGGAAGCACTGTTATGGTTTTGAATGCTTGTGTGAGGGTTTGTGGCTTGTCATTTATGCTCAGAGCAGTGGGAGGTTTTCAGCAAGTGTTTGAAATGATCGTATTAGAGATGTGCGGCGTGTAGGTTGGAGGAGGGCAAGAGTGCCACGGGGAGACAGGTAGTAGGCTCTGACAGTGAATTAATGATATGAGGGCATCTTGGACCACCATATGGAAGTGGAGAGATGACAGAGCCAGAAAAAAAGGGAAAAAGACAGGCAACCAATCTTTGGTGACTGGTACTCATGTGACTAGGCATAAAGGAAAGGGAGAGAGTGAAACTGATTGCAGTCCACCGATGTCTAACAATTTGGATTCAGAAACGAAAGTTACAAACCTCCCTCTGAAGATGCACAGACACACAGACACACAGAATTTCGCATATCACTTTAGAGGAATACGTGGAACTTCTGAAATCCATTGGTGAGGCTGAGGTGGGCAAAGAAGCCAAATCTTATTTCTCTCTGCCCCTCCAGATTCTATTCTAGAAAATACCATAGAGTCTGGCACACAGTGCAAATTTGTTGAGGCCATGAACGAAGGTGAGGGGAGATCCAGGCTTTCGAGACATTCCCAAAGGTTGGTTTTTCTAATCTTCCCACTACAATATGGATGCAGAGATCATAACAGGACTGTTACAATGTGCGAGTGTTCATTAGCTTGCAAAGCAGCATGAGGTGGAAAAGTCCACAAATGGACTCATGACCCTCCAGGTGGTAAAGTGGAATAAATTTCGAAGCATTATGACTCCAGAGCCCCAAGATTTGTCTGCAGCAGATGTCTCTCTGTAATGCTAAATACTGTGGACCGAAGAATAAAAACGTCGGCTTTGATTTTATGTGGGGGAGTGCATCATTTAGAGATGAAGACAGTCTGCCTGTGGCTGGGTGGGTAAGTTAATGTTTTGCATCTTGTGATTCATTTCTACCTTGTGGAACAAGCAGAAATGGTAATTGTGTTCATAGACGGAGATTCAGAACAGAATCATGCCTTTGCAACTAAGGCATTTCAGGAAGCCAATAAAGATAAGAGGGGAAAGAAATGCCTAGGAGGAAGCTTTAGGAAAGATTTAGTTTGCCTGCTTTATCCATAGATTGGGTTGGATTTTTCTCTTTGTACTTTGTAGAACCACCATCTTAACCATGGACTCTCTGAGGGACCCTAGCAGTCACTAGGCTCAAAGCACACTAAGCAGAAATTCTCTCTGCAGGACCCTCGGCAGATGGTTTGTGCTTCCTTTGGTAGTTGCTCCAGTGAGCCTCTGCTTTTGAACATTTCTGAGACAAAGTCTGCCCTGACTGCTTAGTCTATACCAGGAGTGGCAGATCGGTTGACATCCATATCACAATTGCAGTTACTCAATAGTGCCTGCCCGGAGTGCAGAGCTGAGGGATTCTGAGGCAGTCAGGATTAAAAAGCAAACAGAGGCAAGTTGGATTTAGCAGCAAGGCTTCTGGTTGGGCACTCACATCTGCTGTGATAGTACTGGGGTTTAGATCCTAGCTCCGTTCTGATTCCAAAATCCTGCTAATGTGCACCCTGGGAGGCAACAAGCAGTTGGGTCCCTGCTGCCTTCATGAGAAATCAGATTAAGTTCCTGGTTCCCTGCTTTGGCCCAGCCCTGCCTCAGCCCTTGCAGGCATTTGGAGAGTCAAACAGTGGCTGAGAGCTCTCAGTCTGTCTCTGTCTCTCTTCCTTTCAAATAAAATTCTAAAACAAACAAACATAAAATGCAGCAATCAGGGGGCTTGCGCTGTGACATAGTGGGTAAAGCTGCCACCTGCAGCGCCGGCATCCCCTATAGGTGCCAGTTCAAGTCTTGGCTGCTTCATTTTTTAGCCAACTAATGTGCCTAGGAAATCAGCAAAAGATAGCCCAAGTCTCGAGCCCCTGCCACTCATGTGGGAGACCTGGAGGAAGCTCCTGGCTCCTGGCTTCCGGCCGGCCCAACTCGAAGTGGAACTAGCAGATGGGAGATCTCTCTCCACCTCTCTGCCTTTCCAATAAAATAAATAAATAAAAATGAAGCAATCACGAGGATGGGACATGATAATCTAGAAACCAAAAATGTTCTATATTTGCCATTCCTGGGCTAGACTTCTCAGTTACTTGATTCAGTTTAAATTTGTTGGCCATCTGCTAAGTGTCAGTTATGATCCTAGGGGCTAAGACATAAAACTGCTGGTTATCTCTCACTATTCATTTAACCTGCCCTGTATGCAATATTTGATTCAATTGTCCACTTTTTCTTTCTTAAAATATGTTCCTCCCCGACAACTCCGACACCAAGCTGCTGCCATAGGCTTCCCTGAAATGCATTCTCTCTTTACTTGCATTTCACAGGTCATTCCTGCTAATTTTCTCCTCATCTTCTCTGCTTTAATTTATCGAGGGTCTCAAAGGTTGGTCCTGCATCTCCTTTTCTTTTCTGTCTCACTGTCTAGGTGATCATCTGTTGTCCCAAGTCTTCAAATGCTATAGGTTAATGACTCCCAACTTCAGGTGTTTGCTTACCCATGTACTCATCTGCTACCTGATGTCTCCCCACTTAGAGATCTGAAATGCATCTCAAGCGTAACACATTTGACAGAGAGCTTTCGATTTCTATATTGCATTTTCCACCTCCACAAAAAGACTTCCTTCGCAGTCTTTCCAGCCCGATGAATGGCATTGCTGTCTATCCAGTTGCACTTGCCTATGCAACAGGCTTTCTCTCCTTCTCTTAACGCCCCTTACCTAAGTCTTCGGCTACTCCTGTCAATCTACCTCAAAAACTACAACCCAGCCTGCTCAAATGGCTGCACCCGTTGGCCACCATGCTGGTGCCAGGCCATCATCACCCTTGCCTGAAACACATCAATGAACTCTTTCTTACCTGCTTCCCCAACTGCACTCTGTTGCCCTTAAATCCACTGCCCTCACAATAAGGAAGAGGACTTTAAAGAGTGAATGTGAATAAGATCATGTGTGTTGCTGATTAAAATGCTTGAAAGCCTTCACCATGAAGAAAATCCAGATTCCTTCCTGGCTGCCAGGACACACCCGACCTGTCCACCCACAGGCCTTCCTGACCTTGCATTCTGCAGCCACCCCAACACCTTCTGCTCCTCCACCTGTCCTCCCTCCCGGGGCACTTGGCATTTTGTTTGTTTCTCTGCCTAGACCGTTCTTATCTCTGCTTTTCCTATGGCTGGCTCTTTCTTGTCTTCTAGGTCTTAGCTTAAATTGTACCTTGTAACATATCTTTAGCTTCTCTCCTTTGAATGACTGTAATCACCTCCCCACTGGCTTCCTTGTCTCCCACTCCCAACCCCTTGCATGCAATTTCTGCATGGCTCTCAGTCCCTGTCCAACCCTCCAGTGTCTTCCTCACTGGAATCCAGGCCTTCCTCACACAGATGAGCTCCACTATCCTGCTGTGTTACGGAATGCCTCTGAGTCTTTCCAGCTGCTGTTCCTCCTGCCTGGAATTCTTTCATTTTTTTCCTCTGGCTAATCTCTACTGTTTTATCTAAGACACAATGAAGTAGGTGAGAATGCTTTCCAGATCTCTCTCCGTCCTTGAAGTCTGACCACTTTCTTCTGTGTTTGGCTGCTGGGAGCACTTGGGTGCTGTTTAATTCTGCCCTTATCCATTTTCCCATTTCTTTCCTGGATGGGCTTCATAGAAGCCAAAACTTACTTTCTCTCTCTCTCTCTCTCTCTCTCTCTCTAGTATAATGAACACTTCAGAAAGATTTGCACATGGGGTTCCTGGAAGATGGCAATGGGCTGGCTAATGTACTGGGATGGTCATGGCTGCTGTCCTAACCGAGTCCAAGATCCATAAGCTCTGAGTGAGAGCTGACTGCTGGGGACAGAGTGAACATCACACTCTTAGGAAGAGCTGCTGGATGTGCATTATGGATGATAAACTTTGGAGTACTCGGTGCAGTTCTGAGCCCTGGACACAGCTATGAGCTTTGCATTCTGGGGGTGCAGAACTCCCAGTATTGCCCCCATGATCTAGGAGAGATTAAGCATCAGTGCTAACCTGGGTTAGAAGGACAGGAAAGGCACAGGTCCTCCAGGAATTTTCACTGTGTTCAGTCTCAGTTTGGCAGCCTCCTGCTCGGGGCTGCCTCGCCCATGCAGTGCAGTCTAACTAGCCATGTTTCCATTTAGCGACCCTGTCCTCCTGGCTGTGCTGGATTGAGCCAGGGGTAGGCACTGACTCCTACCCGGGCTAGTGGGATTCTCCCTCTCTGAGATTTAATCATTGAGGCAGAAAGACCCACAGCCTGGAAGGTGGTGGTGCCGACACAAGCGCATGACAGGTCCTAGAAAGAAGAGCTGTTGTTGGAATACACCCATATCCTTTCCCTTCCAGAGTGCAGTCTTGACTCTATGAGCTAGTCCTATCCCACCTTGAGATCACTGTGGGAGAGACTGGATGCCTTCTGTGGGCAGGAGTGAAGGGGTGCAATGAGAAAAGAGCCGGGAAAGAATCAGGCTTCCAATTTCAGGCCATGCAAATGCTTCTTCCATGTAGGAAAATGAAGTACTCTCAGGAGGTAAGAGCTGACAGTCTCACTCAAGGGGACACCACAGTCTGGGAAAGGGGCATGACGTGCTGAGGCTCCCGCCATCAACAGTTGCATGTGGAACCTTGGCTGATGTCTAAGCCCAGCGCTCCTTTTACCATTTCAGTTGTCCCCAGCTCATCTGGGCCCAACTCATCTGTCATCCTGGCTTCATGTATTCCTGTTCTGCATCCAACTTGGTGGCTGCAGCTGATTACCTGAAGGACCCAGGAACCCAGGGTGAGTTTGCTGAGGGCATCTGCCTAGCTGGGGCCCAACCCTCCGGACTGTGGGGCTGAGAACCATAAAGTGATAATCACACGGCAGGGCAACAGCAGAGAGGAGCAGGGCCTTAATAACATGATGTGATGTGAGTGTGGGGTGGGGCTGTGGAGCTGCCCCACCCACACACGCCTTGCCAACCCTGCATCATTCTAGCAGGGCTGCATTCCTGGCCTCGAATGTAATGCTCGTTAGATTGCTTTCAAATTTGGCTGGATGCAATAATTGCACTCTTCTTTCTAACCACCTCAGTATCTGCGAAGTGGGAGGATGTCTGCCCTCTCTGCACCACGCAGGTTTCCAGGTGGGCAGTGCTTCTGTCTGACTTGTACAGTTGGTCTGAGGCCATTGTCTCCAAACTATGATCTGAAGTTTGCTTGAATCAGAATCTGGTAGCATGATGGTCAAAATGACAATGACTGGGCTTCTCACGGACCTACTGAACCACATTGTCTGCATTACCCATAGTAATAGGTTTTTATTTATTTATTTATTTACTTGAAAGTCAGAGTTACATAGAGAAAGAGAGGAGAGGCAGAGAGAAAGAGAGATCCTCCATCTGATGGTTCGCTCCCCAACTGGCCGCAATGGCCAGAGCTGTACCCATCTGAAGCCAGGAGCCAGGAGCTTCTTCCGGGTCTCCCACGTGGGTGCAGGGGCCCAAGGGCTTGGACCATCCTGTACTGCCTTCCCAGGCCATAGCAGAGAGCTGGATCAGAAGCGGAGCAGCCGGGACTAGAACTGGAGCCCACATGGGATGCTGGTGCTTCAGGCCAGGGCATTAACCCACTGCGCCATGGCGCCAGCCCCAACACAGTAATAGGTTTTACAGATAATAAGGATTGCTGGTGTGAAGGGTTCGCTGGGATTGGAGGAAACTATGGGTGTGGGCTGGGGATGTGGTGGTTTCCGGTCCCTGCTGCAGTGCTTCCTGGCTGGCTGACTTGGTGTGTCACTCACTCTGTCCGGGCATCCTGGGCAGGGAAGGGTTGTATCTATGTGTATCTCTTTCAGTGGCCTAGAAGACAGGTTCATTAAATTTGAATGAATGAATGCCTGCAGGAGTGAAGATCGTAACCCATGCTATGCTGTCTTGACCGCAATAACACAGGGAAAGGTCCCTGTGCAGTGTCCTGCACGTAGTAGGTGCTCACCTAGTGCGGTGCTTTCCCATTCCCCTCGACAATGACTTGTCTGTGGGTAACTCATTCAGGTACACAGTGCACATGTGGAGGAGATGACAGGCGCTCAGAGACCTGGCTGAGACCCAGGGCTGATAAGCCCTTCCAGAGGGGGCCGACATGGGTTTGGGAGGCCACCAGTGGATGTCAGATGTGTGTCCAGAGGGTTGCAGCTGTGATCAGCAGCCAAAGACTGGGGCAACTCAGAGTATGAGGTCTTGAGTATAAATGAGGGAATTCATGACCTATCCCTTGCAATGCCACTAGGAAAATAGCGGATTTCCCCTGGACCCATGTTTTTATATGTGAGAATCAAATGAGGTAATGAGGAGGTAACCGTTGTCTACTCTATTGTGTTGTGATGATTTCTTCTCCAAGTGAGGCCTGCAGACCAGCGGTGTTATTGTCACCTGGGAGCCCATCAGATAGGCCGACTCTCAGGCCATGCCCTAGACTTATTAAGTGGGAGCCTTATTTTAAGGTGATTCCCTGGCAATTTACAATACACACTAAAGTTGGAGAAGTAGAAGCGAAACAATTATAAGGGATTTTTTGTTCTCTAAGTACAGCTGTTTCCTAGAGAGTTTGGAGGAAGGGCAGGCAAGGGGGAAGAACTGTGTCTTATTTCTCTCTTTTCAGTACCTAAAATACAACTGGCCTTTAACTAATGTTGCATGAGTCAATGAATAAATGAAGATCTTCACCGGTGTTGTCCTCCACTGCTTGGAGTTCTCTGCCGTGGCTCCTGCTGTACTAGCAGGAGGTTTCGTGGTGGGTGCAGCTGCCTTGCAGTCAGTGGATGCCAGCTACAGACGCAGGCATTTAGCATGTGATTAAGGACAGAGTAATCCACTTAATGTGGGTTGTGGGAGATATTTGGCAAGAACTGAGGTGCAGGGGTTGGATTTTAGTTTCCAAAGATAATGCCTTTCCCAATTATTTAAAGCCCTCGGTAGCTTGGATCACACCCAGACGGAAATAAGCCTCCTTAAGACAGAATTCCGCAAATAGGACTCTTGCTCATTTCTGTAGCAGAATCCTGGCTCTAATAGTCTATTCAGGCTTTCATGTCACATGACACAGAAGGGTTGTCCAGCCAGATCTTCATGGAGCTGAGCCCAACCGAACTTACCACCTATAAAGGAGAAATAGTTTCTGCTTACTAGATTTTGCCACCAGCTAAATTAATTACAGAATTAATCTATTCCATCACTCAACACATTCTGTAGCGCTCGGCTTGAGGTTACCATAGTGAGTAGCAAGCAGTCCCTGCTTCTTCCAAGTAATTGCCAGGTGGCAAGGATGGAATAAGAACCAAGCAATTATCGTGAGGTTTGAGTAAGTGCAGACCCAGACGGGAGAGCAGAGCAGGCTGACCCAGGCCAGTAAGGGCGGAGGTGATGGAGGGAGGCACCTCCTGCAGGAAGTGACCTGCAGGCTGATACTGGACGGGTGAGTGGGAGGTAAACAACTGGGGGAGGAAATGAAGCAAGGACAAAGAATAGCCCGGGCCCAGTCCTAGAAAAAAAGACAGTGGTTGGAGGCAAAGGAAGTGAAGCAGTCATGTTTCTGGTGGCTGCAGTGATAGGCTGGCTGCCTGTGGGTATACAGTAGTTTCTCCTCATCTGTGATTTCAATCACCCAGCAACTCTGGGCTGAAAATATTTAATAGAAAATTCCAAAAACAATTCACAGGTTTTAAACGTGTGCCATTTTGCACAGCAATTTCACATTTATTAAAATATATCTTTGGAGCTGGCATAGTGGCATAATGGATAAAGCCACTGTCTGTGATGCCAGCATACCATATGGTGATATTTCGAGACCCAACTGCTCCACTTCTGATCCATCTCCCTGCTAATGTGCCTGGGAAAGCAGCAGAGGACGGCCCAAGTGCTTGGGCCCCTGCACCCACGTGGGAGACCCGGAAGAAGCTCTGGGGTCCTGGTTCCGGCCTGGCTCAGCCCTGGCCATTGCAGCCATTTGGAGAGTGAACCAGCAGATGGAAGGTCTCTCTCTCTCTGTATCTCTTCCTTTCTCTCTGTAATTCTGCCTTTCAAATAAATAAATCGATATTTAAAAATTTTATCATTATTATAATTATTCTATATTATTATTGTGCATCTCTTACTAGGCCTAATTTATAAATTAAACTTTACCAAAAGTATGTATATATGTACAGGAAAAAAAACTTGTGCATCTAGATGTGAGTACTATCTGTGGTTTCAGGTGTCCCCTGGGGATTTTGGAATGTATCCCTCACCAATAAGGTGGGACTGCCAAATATGTGGAGTTTGAATATGATGAGAGGTGAGGCTGAGGGGGAAAGTGAGGGAAAAATCACAAGAGGTACTTTGAATCCTCCCAGGAAATTCACATTTTATCCCAAGGCTGGTCGAGGAAATCTCCAAAAGATCCGCTGTTAGTGGGGTCGGATTCCTTTTCCAGTAATGGACCCTTGGACGTCTTTGTCCAGTTAGCCTCCGTAATGGACCCTTGGACGTCTTTGTCCAGTTAACCTCCGTAATGGACCCTTGGACGCCTTTGTCCAGTCAGCCTCCTTGGACACTTGGACCTCTTTGTCCAGTCAGCCTCCTTGGACACTTGGACGTCTTTGTCCAGTTAACCTCTGTAATGGACCCTTGGACGTCTTTGTCCAGTTAGCCTCCGTAATGGACCCTTGGACGTCTTTGTCCAGTTAACCTCCGAAATGGACCCTTGGACGTCTTTGTCCAGTTAGCCTCCGTAATGGACCCTTGGACGTCTTTGTCCAGTCAGCCTCCTTGGACACTTGGACGTCTTTGTCCAGTTAACCTCCGTAATGGACCCTTGGATGTCTTTGTCCAGTTAGCCTCCGTAATGGACCCTTGGAAGTCTTTGTCCAGTTAGCCTCCATAATGGACTCTTGGACGTCTTTGTCCAGTTAGCCTCTGTAATGGACCCTTGAACGTCTTTGTCCAGTTAGCCTCCTTGGACCCTTGGACGTCTTTGTCCAGTCAGCCTCCTTGGACCCTTGGACGTCTTTGTCCAGTTAGCCTGCGTAATGGACCCTTGGATGTCTCTGTCAGTGTGGCAATAGGACAGGTTTGGGTGCCTCGCACTGCCCTCACGTCACCTGCTTTGAGCTGGGCTCTGCTTCTTGTTTTGCCTCTGTTTACGCTAACCACACACATGTCCTCAGTGTTATCTTGTGCTTATTTCAAGGAGCACATTTCTCCATCAAGGCCTCCAGCAGCTGCTCGGCGTCCACTACCAGGGCTTCCTTTCTGGGGCCCCCCTGCCCAGTGGGGCAAGTGAGGTGCTGCCTGCTTACAGCCCCAGCTGCAGTCAGCGGCCCTGCTGGGTCTCACCAGTAGCCTCACCACGGCACTTTCTAGAGACAGTAGGTCAGATCACTGCTGTGTCATCATCTATACTCTTTAGTGTTCCAGCCACATGGAGACTGCCTGCACAGCCAGAGCCCCCATTGTGAGCTGTCACCAGTCAAAGGCTTTTAAGAGGCCAGGGGGTGGTGCGGTGGCCAGACCACAGGCTTGAGGGTCGGAAGTGCTGGCCTGAATTGTGGCCCCTTCCTGCCCTTGGTGTGTGACCTTGGTGAGTCATTTGAGTCACAGCTTCAGTTTCCACAGCTGTAAAATGAGGACAATGAGCACACCTGCCTTGTCCATTCTTAGGGTGGGGATGAGATCAAACAAGACGGTGCATGGGAAAGTACTTTGTGAAGTTCCATAAAAGAGTGGGCTTTCATTAGCACAGTGGCCACCGCTGGCGCAGCCTCTCAGGGCTGGAGCCCGTTGTACGCTTCTCACCCACACAGCGTATCAGCACTATCCTGTCCGAGGCTTTCCGGCTAGGTTTCATTTTATCACCACTCCTACACTCAATCACGCAGCAGACGACTCAGAGAGAGACGATTTGTCCAAACGTAAACCTGAAGTTCATCTCTAATTGTGGGAACCCAATAATTTTTGGTGACACAGCTAACTATGAAAGGGCATCTGGTGAATCTATGGAAGGCAAACACATCCAGTTCCTTCTCTTACAAGTAATTTTTCCTCTCGAGCTTCTTGCTGGCAGTTTCTGAAATGTAATGGAAAAGTATTAAATTTCAGCTCATTTCATACTAAATGTCCTACTAAAATTTTTTTCCTACTAAAATTTCCTACAAAATTTCCTACTAAAATTTTTTCGTGAACTTTTTTTTAAAAGATTTATTTATTTATTTGAAAGTCAGAGTTACACAGAGAAGGAGAGGCAGAGAAAGAGAGAGAGAGAGAGAGAGAGAGAGAGAGAGAGAGAGGAGGGAGAGAGAGAGAATCTTCTATCTGCTGGTTCACTCCCCAGTTGGCTGCAAGGCTGGAGCTGCGCCAATCCGAAGCCAGGAGCCAGGAGCTTCTTCTGGGTCTCCCACGTGGGTGCAGGGGCCCAAGGACTTGGGCCATCTTCTACTGCTTTCCCAGGCCATAGCAGAGAGCTGGATCAGAAGTGGAGCAGTCGAGTCTTGAACCAGCCCCCATATGGGATGTGTGCACTGCAGGTCGCGGCTTTACCCGCTACCCCACAGCTCCGGCCCACTTTCTTCGTTTTATTTTCTGTCTTCCCTCAATGGACCAAAATCTCCCTGAGGACAGGAACTGGGTCTCAATCACCTTGGCCCACTGCTATTTCTAGATGCAGTGTGGAGTGAATCACCATGCCCGACACGTGCCAGCCCTCACCAGGCTGACAGCAGCTGCCTCCTAGCTCCTTGCTCTGACTTCCCTTGGCCCCAGCTCTAAGGCGAGCTTCCATAGCAGCCAGGGGGCCTCTGAGACATGAGCCAGCTCAGTGCTCCTCCTGCTTAGTGCCTTCTGATGACTGCTGTGGCACAGAGTAGTGAGCCTTGCATCACCTGGACCAGGCTGAGTTCTAACCTCATCTTTGTCCATTTTGTCCTCACAAAATGCTCCAAGTTCCAGCCACCAGGAAACCACTATGATTTCCTGAATGCAGCCTACCTGCCCACCTGCACATAGTAACTGATATGATTCAGCATTTGCCATGCCAGGTACTTTAGAACTACTCTCTCGCCATCATTTATGAATCTCACACAACTCCCTATGTCATAGTTATTATCATACCCATTTTATAGATGAGAAAACTGAGGCTTGGACAGGAAAGGATACCTGCTTCAGGCCAGGGAGTAAAAGGCAGTTAAAGGATTATAAATGATCACATTACATTGAAGAAGACAGTAGTTTCTTCACTGAAAGGACTTGGTGGGGAGCAGGCATTTGGTCTAGTGGTTCATATGCCAGTCTATCAGTCTTTCTCTCTGCCTTTCAAATAAACAACCATTTTAAAAGACCTTGGCTCTAGCTGAGCAGACGTGAGTCTTCCAGAATGAAGACAAACACTGGAGTATGGTGTAAGAGCCACTAAATGACTCCTCCAGTGGAAGTTCAAGGGTGCCGTGCAAGCAAGAATCCCATCCGGCACTCACAACCACATCCTACACTGGATCGCCAGAGCTCGGGTCCTGGCTCCACTCCTCACGCCAACTTCCTCCCAGTGTTTTCCCTGACAGGCAACAGGTGATGACTGAGAGAGTTGGATCCCTGCCACCCATGTGGGAGACTTGGATTAAGTTCCAGGCTCTTGGATTTGGCTTGGCCTGGCCCCAGCTGTTGCACGCATTTGGTGAGTGACCCAGTAGATAGGAGGTCTCTGTCTATCTGAGGGAAGGAAAAGCTGTTGTGGCCAGGGGTGCGTCAGCGGAGTAGGCTGGGGAGGGGGCAGTTGTATCAGCAGGGGGGCCCCGAGCAGGCATGATCATTTTTGTCAATGCAGAGGCCCCCTGGAAAGGGGGGTTCCACCCACATGGAGAGGGACAAGAATGTGGGGGTGAGGCCGGTTCCCAGGGCTCTCCTGGGCCAGGCTGAGGAGCTGGGACTGCTGCTTAGAGATGGTCTGAGGGATACTGATGAACTTCTGGCAGGGAGGTGGTTTGAATTCAGTATTGTTTGGGGGAAAAGGAAAAGAAAATATAAGCGTGAGTTGAACAGTGGGAGGGAGTGGATCTGCAGCACCCAGTAGGGATAGTTTTGTAACAGCCCTGACACAACACCAAAGCAGGGACTATGCAATTACAAAGCATAGGGCTGCTCCCACAGCATTCAAAGCCACCTTGGTCTATGATTTGCTGCTTAAGGACACTGCTAATCCTACTGTTATTGATGCCTGAGGACATCAGAGCTATTTTGGGGACAACGCCCTCCCTCCAGGTGGCCATTGGCCGGTGTGTGGACCTTAAAGGGACCTTGGGTAAGGCCACGAGCCCCAGGTCCCAGGCCTGGCCCTTGACCCCTGGTGAGATAGCCTTGAGCAACTGGCTGAAGCTGCCAGGGTGATTGCCACATGTGTCATGCCAGGTGATTGGCTCATCTTGTCCACTCAATCAAATAGGAAATCTAGCTCAGAAATACTTGTCCAGGACCTGGGGAGTGCCTGCTACGTGCGAAATGCTGAGGGCCGCGCTGGGGTCAGATCTTGTTCATCGCCACCTGATGGACAAGACACCCAAGGAGGCTGCCATTAGTCGCTACTTCTGCCTGTATTAAACTGTGCGTGTCCGTGTGTTAAAACCTGCGTTTCAAAGCAAGGGGAGAGGAAGGGCTTGCTGGTGAGCATCCTGTCTGACGTGGAGGTGCGAGAGGTCACACGAAGGCACTGGAAGAGCCCATCCAGGGCTGACAGCGGCTCCAGTGCCCTTGGGGTCCTGTGCGGCAGGAAATTCCACCTGCTCCAAACAAGCCAGAGGCCTCCATAACCCTCAGCCAGGAAGGAACTGAATTATAGTCCTCCACATGAGGATTTAATCAGACTGGCCCCTAGAGCACAAAGCAAACACGGAGGAGCACTTACCTCAATCCAGTCAAACTCAGACTGGTCAAATTCATTGTTTTTTTTGTTTGTTTGTTTGAAACATTCATTCTTTTATTCACTTACTCTGCATTAAAATTTTCTAAAATTATTTTAATTGTACATACTTATGGGGTACAATGTGATAATTTGATATATCACTGTGTGATGATGAAATCAGGTTAGCATTACTATTTCCTTAGACATCTTTAAAAATTTTTAACACAATAATTATATATGTTTAGGGGTACAGGGTGATATTCCAAGAAGTGTATGCAGTCTGTACTGATCAAATCAAGGTAATTAATGTTTTCCTGTTCTTGTCATTATTTTATGTTTGGAGGCTTCACGTGCCTATCCTGTATTTATTCATACCATATATGATATGTTATTATGAATTACAGTCACCCTACTGTGCTGTAGAACACTTGAACTTGTTCATTATGTCCATCTGTGTTTTGGAATCCATTTGACAGCCTCCCTCTATTCGCTTCTCCGCCTCCAGGAATCTCCTTCATACAGTCAGACTGGCTTCCGTCTTATGTGATATTTGGCTTTGTGCTACTCTGCATTCTTTAGATACTCTGTCATCACGTGTGTTTACTGGATGGTTGAACTGAGCAGTCTTTAAGCTCCTTATATGTGGGGTATATGTCCTGTTATCAACCTGCATCACAGACACCATGGACAGTGGGGACTACATGTACAGCACAAGACCTTCAGACAAATGAATGGGACTAGACTCCAGCCTCTGCTCCACCTGATGGAATAGCCGAGATGGATGGAGACTTCTTCCAACAAGCATCAGGCATTATTTGCACAGGTGAGCACCTGAGTGGTCAGCCCTGAGGAGGCACTTTCCAGTTGGCACACAGAACCCCTGGTGTCAGCAGTGGCCATCTGTTTTACGTGTCCAGTGCAGTTCTACCCTAGCACTGATTTTTTTCAGGCAACAATTATTGGGTGCTAACTGTGTATCAGTCTGGTGTTCTGTTGTCCCCTACCCCATCACACAAAGATGAATAGGACAGAATATGGAACTTCCATCCTCTGGGCAGAGGAGCACGTAACTGAGTCATCTGAGATAGGATAAAGTCTTGTACAGAAAGAACGAGTACTGCTTCCAAGGAAGGGTAGCGTTGGAAGGCTTGTAAGAGTGACTTCTGGTTACATTTTTTGTTGACAGGCAGAGTGGACAGTGAGAGAGAGAGAGAGAGAGAAAGGTCTTCCTTCTCCGTTGGTTCACCCTCCAATGGCCGCCGCGGCCGGCATGCTGCGGCCGGCGCATCGCGCTGATCCGAAGCCAGGAGCCTGGTGCTTCTCGGGGTCTCCCATGTAGGTGCAGGGCCCAAAGACTTGGGCCATCCTCCACTGCACTCCCTGGCCACAGCAGAGAGCTGGCCTGGAAGAGGGGCAACCGAGACAGAATCCGGCGCCCTGACCGGGACTAGAACCCGGTGTGCCGGCGCCGCTAGGCGGAGGATTAGCCTAGTGAGCAGCGGTGCCGGCCTCTGGTTACATTTTGAAGAATGAGTAGGTTTTGGCCAGGAGTAAAAGTGTGGACACCAGAGAAGTAAATGGACATGATGAGGGGTGTGGGGGACTTTAGGTTGGGTAGGTTTGTAAGAATCAGAGTTGATCACCTTTTTAAAAATTATTTATTTATTTGATAGTCAGAGAGAGGAGAGTTAGAGAGAGAGAGAGGTCTTCCATTCAATGGTTCACTCCCCAATTGGCCACAATGGCCAGAGCTGCACCGATCTGAAGCCAGGAGCCAGGAGCTTCTTCTGGGTCTCCCATGTGGTTGCAGGGGCCCAAGAACTTGGACCATCTTATATTGCTTTCCCAGGCCATAGCAGAGAGCTGGATCAGAAGTGCAACAGCCGGGACTAGAATTGGCACCCATATGGGATGCCAGAGCTTCAGGCCAGGGCATTAACCTGCTGCACCACAGCGCCGGCCCCCAGAGTTGATCGATCACCTTTGGGTATGCCGAATGAGTTCTTCTCCAGGAAGTGCCCCTGAGCCCCTGTAGCAGGAGTGTTCCAATTTCCTCCTGACTACCGTTTCCAACTTCCATTCTCTTGTGAAAGGACATCAAAAAGTTCATGGAAAATGCATATCGTGAAAAACTACCCATGGGTTGTGGATTTCTCTTGCACCCAAAGAAACTTATCTTTGAAATCCATTTTTCCATGAACTTTTGAAGCCCCTTGTATTTGCCACAAATATTCGTCATGTGCGCATTTCTTTGATAGACTGGAAGCTTCAGAACAGAGAGCTTCAGGCTTCTTCATCTTCCTCTGTGCGTAAGGACCTGGTGCTTGGAGTGGACCAGGTGCCAGGGCACCCTCACATGGAAGACAAGGAGATGGTGCCCTCCTGCCCGGGCCTATCTCTAGGGACTGATTATCTCTATACTCACTACTGTTAAGAGACTTCTCAAATTTCTTATGTGGACATTTTCCATAACGATATGAGCATGTGTGAACATGCATGTATATGCATATGATATGTAATGAAGAATTCATATCAGATCCGTCAGTGACTTCAGCCTGGAAGTTGGATGAGAAGTGAGCAGGTAGGGACTATCTCAGGATGATTGAATATGACTGCCCATGTTGTGTACTGCACAATTCCAGGGTACCATTCATTTAGAAATAAATCTGCACTTTATAAACTTTTAAAAGACAAAAACGGGACAGTGCTGTGCTGCAGTGGGTTACACCGCTGCCTGCAGTGCCAGCATGCCGTATGCCCCTGCAACCACATGGGTTCGTGTTTCAGCTGTTCCAGCCCCAATCCAGCTCCTTGCTAATGCTCCTGGGAAAGGAGCAGAGATGGCCCGAATTCTTGGGTCCCTGTCTGGCATTGGCCTGGCTCAGCCCCTGCCGTTTCCAGTCATTTGGAGAGTGAAATAGAGGTTGGAAGATCTCTTTCTTTCTGTGTCTTGCCTGTCTCTCCCTCTCTCTGTAATTCTGGCTTTCAAATAAATAAATAAATCTAAAAAAATTTTAAAAAGTAAAAACAAACACAAAGAAATCAGGAGACTGTAAATGACTTTTATACTCTTTTCATGAATTCTTGGTATTTCTCCATAGTGTCCAAAATGGATGGGCATGGATTTCATATTCAAAAATTGTTTAAATGAATGAATTGCGGACAGTTTGAGAAATATTGAAAAAGCATAAAAGAGAAAATAAAAATGATCCATATTTTACCAACCAGAGACAAATAGAATTAACATTTTATTTCATAAAATTTGTTCTATTTATTTTAACAATGGTATTTTTGTTCTTTGAATAATTTGTATAACAAGGAAATATCCAAAGAATAAAACAAAAACTGTTTCAGCTTACCACTCAGATGACCTACAGTTAATGTGTGTGTGTGTGTGTGTTTCCTTCTAGCCTTTTTCTGTATTAATTGAAATCTTAGCTCTCATATAGTGACTGCTCCCTCTGAGCCAGGCCATGTGTTATGTGGCTGCCAGAAATTATCTCGTTTAACTCCCACATAAGCCTGTGAGTAGGAATTTCTCAGTCTCATCTCAGAGAAGGCAAAGAGCAAAGGTCAAGAAACTTGGATGAGCTGCCTTTTGAACCTCACGTTGCCTGACTCCAAAGCTAACACTGGTAATGGTTACACGACATTCCCTTAAATCCCAGGTGTGTGGTTATTGGCGTGGACACACACATTTGCTACACACAGACACACACACACACACACACAAGCTGTGATTATGCTGTGCCTTTCATGCTGTCATCTGTTTTATTTTTTACTTAATATTTGATGATGTGCCTTTCACTAGGCCATGTGAAAACACTTTTAGAAAGAAGCTTAGGAAACTTGCTGTTTCTTTTTTTTTTTTTTTAAGTAAAGTTTTAAGTAAATCATTCTGGAAGCTCCGTTCTCCATGGACCACCAACCTTTGCCATCAGGCTTCCGGATCTATGGCTGGTACACACCCAGTTCTCAGGAGCCCACCTCCTGGGAGCCTCTGCCTGGCTTCTGTCTCATCCACTTCTGTTTCTTCCTCACGCTGGGAGTAGGAGAAGCAGAAGAAGCTGCACTCACTCATCTTTACCCAGAGGCTGTCAGAAGAAACTAACTGCCCAAAGGCCTGCATGTTGTGACAGCACCTCCCGTGGGCATTGCCGCACTGTCTCAGAGGCTTTCTTCCACATGCATGTGTGAAATGTAAGTGTGTGTGTGTGTGTGTGCGTGTGTGTGTGTGCCATGTGAATACCCCAAGCGGCTGAGAAGGCATTTTCCAATCCAGAAATTAATGGGCAAGTTAAGCAATCAGGACAGTATAAAGTCTTCAGCAAGAGTTGCAACAAAAATTTAGGGCACAGAGCACCAAGTGTTTAATAGAATGCAGACTGATGGCATCTAAAGTGGAACAATCGCTGCAGGCCCTCTCGGCTCCAGGACGCGAACGGTGCGCTCTGTGGATTCGCAGTGGGACCCCCACATGCCTGCCTCCCAAACGTACTCGACAAAGAATCCAGTGGGGCAGCGGCAGCTTTCTTGGAGGCCAGTGTCCTGCAGTACGTAGTTTGAGAAATACTGATGTATGTACTGTTGATTCAGTAATTTAATTCCATTCGATAACTGACTAATTCCTGGGGACTCAAAACATGGTCCATGACGCAGTGGCACCAGCCTCCTCCAGGAAATACAGCATCCACCTTCTACCTCCCTTGCCCCCACTTCTTTGACAGATTTGGAATGGGCAATTTAATAGGATTTTCAGGTCATACACAGGGACTTAGACTTCAAGACAGATGCACTGCTGTTAAGGACATGAACGCTCTTGATAAAAATGGGATTCACCATCTAGAGTTTAATTTCACAGGGTGTGCGTCACACATTTTTTAGAATAATGTACGAAAAGCACAGGCAACAGAAAACGTATCTGAATCCTGTGCTTTCTCGGACTGCCAGCCCATGGAGCACTTTTCTCTGCAGGCACATTCTGCAGCTGCCTCACTCGGACCCGAAACCCCCGGGAGCCCCCAGGTGTCTCCTGAGTCCTCCTCCTTTCCCTTTTCAGTAGAGAGTGCAGTCCCATAGCCTGGCCGCATTTGGAACAGAGAGACAGGCAGCCACATCGCATTAGCTGATGGCAGTGGGTGGCGAGGGGTTCCAGCTGGGAGCACACAGCCAAAGCCCCCCGTAATGGCCCCGTCAGCTGTCAGGCTGTAAACACATTTCTTCCCATTCAGTGCCTCATTTGCGCCTCTCTGACCTCTGTGGTTCTCGGATCCAGGCCACGTGGCCCAGATGGCATAATCTGTGAGGCCAAAGCAGGTGACAGTAGGGCTGCTGTTAGGTAATCAGTGACTATAATTAGCTGGGCTGGAAACGATAATGGGACCAACTGCAGGGCCAGGGGGAGGGCTGCTGGGGTTAGGGGAAAGCCCTGGATGGGTGGAGAACCAGCAGGGGAGAAAGGCTTGCTTCCTCCCTCCCTCCCTTCCCTCCTCTCCTAACATTGTGTTTTCTGTGTGTGTCCCGAGGCTTCATTCACAAAGAGGTCAGAGCCGGGCACTGGCAATTCAGTGAGTGAGTTGTTAGGCAGCTGATCAGTTTTGTTTCACAGAAGCGTTTCCAGAAATCTATGGTTCAGTTTGGCTAAGCAGTCGGCTCTAAAGGTTTTGTGGGAGCAAGTGTGGAGGAGGGCTATGAGAGGGTTAGAAGTTGACTGTTAGGAGTCAGACACACTGACATCCCATGTCAGCAGCTCAGGCTGGCTCACCAGCCTCTGTGTCTCCCACACTGGATCCCAACACTCACCCTGAGGCTGTTGGGGTCATGTATCTCCAGCAATATTGCCAGAAACATACATGACGTGCAGTAGGTCCTCTGGAAATATCCCTTTCCTTCTTGATGGCTATGACTTTGTACGTGATGCGCATACAACGGAACCAATTAATGACAATAGCAAGGACAAGGAGAAATCTCCCAGTACAAATGTAAGAAGGACTCTGTGAATAGGGGAAACTCGGTTATGTTTGTCAAAAAAGAGGTTGATAAATGAAGCTGGAAGTGTTTGTAACTTATACCAGGAGGAGAACAGTTCTGTATTTTCTGAATCAAAGTGAGAGAGATGGGGCAGGGCAGTCAAGGTGAAGAAGATGTGTCTGTGACGTCGCCCGCCGTCCATGGCTGGCTGTCGAGGAACGCAGCACAGTGTTGTGGCGCTCACTGGAAGCATTGTTGAAGCAGGGTCACTTTGCCTTAGCTGAAGGTCTATAGTGAAACTCTGCTGTCCATCGTATGTCCTCTCCTCACCTGCAACCATTTTTTCCTTTCTTTTCTTACTTAATTAATAAATATGTGTGTACCCATAAGCACACACACACACGCGTGAGCACACACACACACACAGGAGGAAAATTCAAGATTCATAGAAAATAGAACTAAAATATAGGTATATTTTGCTGTTAAAGTTTCAAAATCTATGCATAGTTTTTTTTTTACAATACACATTTTCCATGAAGTTCCTTTAATTGTCCCCTAGAGATACAAAAGCAAAAACCAACTAACTATGATCCAGAAAAACTAGCCAGTTAATTTGGAGTAGATCCATTTAGACACAGATATTTCTTCATCAATATGAGTCATATTGACTTCTTGGAGAATAATTTCTCCCTCCATTTAATATGCAGTTTTGTATTTTCTACCTTCTTTACTAACTGTTAAGGCATGAAGAGTTCTACCAATCTTTTTGTACTATTATCTTTTTAATTTAAATAATTAGCATGCCCTAAAATTCACATTGTAAAATGTATGCTCAGTGGTTTTTAGCATCTTCTTGATGTTGGACTACCCTGACCAGTACTGAATTCTGGACATTTCTCCCAAAAGCAATCTCATTGCCATTTGAAGTCACTCTCTATTTCTGTCTCCCTTCAGCCCCAAGCTAATAATAATTAGAGTACTATGAGATGTCATTAATTATCAGCCCATCTCCTCACAGCTGGATAGGAAGTTGCTTACAACCCCTGGTTAATAGTAACTAGAGTACCTTGAGATGCACTGGGTTATTGATTCAACTCCTCCCAGGTGGATAGGTAACTTGCTTGCATCCCATAGTTAATAGTAACAGGGTTACTGTGAGATACCATGAGTTACTGATTCAGCTCCTCACAGTTGGATGGAAAAGTTGCCTACAACCCCTAACTGATAGTACCTGAACTGTGAAGTGCCCCAAGTTATTTGTCCAGCTCCTCATAGGTGGATCGGTAACTTGCTTAGAACCCATAGTTGAAAGTAACCTTGGCTCACTGGGTTAATCCTCTGCCTGCGGCACCAGAATCCCATATGGGCACCAGGTTCTAGTCCCTGGTTGCTCCTCTTCCAGTCCAGCTTTTTGCTGTGGCCTGGGAGGGCAGTGGAGGATGGCCCAGGTGCTTGGGCCCCTGCACCCATGTGGGAGACTGGGAAGAAGCACCTGGCTCCTGGCTTCAGATGGGCATAGCGCCAGCCGTAGTGGCCATTTGGGGAGTGAACAAAAAAACGGAAGGAAGACCTTTCTCTCTGTCTCTCTTTCTCTCACTGTCTAGCTCTATCTGTCAAATAGGAAGGAAGGGAGGAAGGAAGGAAGGAAGGAAGGCAGGAAGGCAGGCAGGCAGGAAGGCAGGAAGGAAGGAACCAGAGTACTCTGAGATGCCCTGGGTTATTGATCCAGCTTCTCACAGTTAGATGGGAAAGTTGCTTACAACCATGTGTCATCTATGATGACAAACAACGTGTAGGGGCTGGCACTGTGGCGCAGCAGGTTAACGCCCTGGCCTGGAGCGCTGGCATCCCATCTAGGTGCTGGTTTGAGACCTGGCTGGTCCATTTCTGATCCAGCTCTCTGCTGTGGCCTGGGAAAGCAGTGGAAGATGGCCCAAGTCCTTGGGCCCCTGCACCCACGTGGGAGACCCGGAAGAAGCTGCTGGCTCCTGGCTTCGGATCAGCGCAGCTCCAGCCGTTGCAGCCAGGGAGTGAACCATCGGATGGACAAGCTCTCTCTCTCTCTGACTCCCCTCTCTCTGTGTAACTGACTTTCAAATAAATAAATAAATCTTTAAAAAACAAAACAAAACAAAAAAAACAATGCTGTAGTGATCAGTCTGTGAAATTTTGATCCAATTAGATCATACTTTTGAGTTGTATCAGCATTAACATGCACACACACACACTACCTTAAGTTGATAAGTTTTACAGTTTTAGATGATGTGGTTATGGGAAAATTCAGAATTAAAACAAATCTTTAAATCTGCTGAATTACATTCTTTGGGGGCATTTTCTGAGGAAAGGACTCATAAAGATTTAACTGATAATGAATGTGGTCATTGCAAAACTGCTTTTGCAAATACTGCCTTGAGGAGTTTGCCAGACATTGGAAATTATGAAATCATATTACTCTGTGGTTTCATAGTAGAGGTTAATTCCTGAGTCCACTCTTTGCACTTTGGGTTCTTCTGCACAGCCCAAGGACCTTGCAGGAAGAGAGGCCAACAGAGGGGTATGGAGTGGAATCAATTCTCTTCATAGTTTCCAGGATTGATTTTGAAAGTTTAATTTCAAAAAACAATAATCTTAATATTATACAAAAGGAATCTGGGAACTGTATTAAAAATCCTTTATATCTTTATACACATAGACTGTATTAAACATCCATTCCAATGACAATGGTTATTATTACCAGGCTTCACATGAAATGGAGGTTATGAGACTCTGAGGCCCAGGGGCTATGCTAAGTGTTTCATATGCATTATTTCATTCAACAGCCTCTCACAATCATCTGCTGAATTGTTTAAGAAAAGGAGGTCAGAATATTGCACAATGCAAATGGTGGGCAAGCAGAGTGCTGCTCTGGGTGTCCGTTGGCACGTCCGTTCTTCCTTAGCAATTGACCCCTCTTCTCAGTGCTTGATTTGCCTCCTGCGGTCTCGCCTGGCCCATCTCAGTCTTCAGCTGAGCTCCTGAACCCAGACATCTCTGGGGAGGCCTGTGCCTTATGGAGAGAGCTTGCTTTGAGTCTTTGTTCTGCCCTTGGGCAAGTGACTTGACCACTCTGTGGTTCAGTTTCCCAGTCTTTACAGTGGGGATAAAAGTATCGACTTTGGGAGCCAGCATTGTGGCACAAAAGGATAAGCCACTGCCTCTGATGCCACGATCCCATGTGCGTGTTGCTTCTAGCCCTGGCTGTTCTGCTTCTGCTCTAGCTCCCTGCTAAGGCATCTGGGAAAGCCATGGAAGATGGCCCAAGTGCTTGGGCCCCTGCCACCAACATGAGAGACACAGAAAGTGTCCAGGTTCTTGGCTGTTGTGGCCATTTAGGGGAGAGAACCAGCGAATAGGTGATCTCTCTGCCTTTCCCTCTTTCTCTGCAATTTTGTCCTTAAAATAAATAAATAAATAAATAAATAAATATTTTTTAAAAAGAGTTACTATGCATTTTTGCAAAATGAAGCTAAGGACTTAACAGTTACTGATTGCCATGGCAGAGGGAGTCCAGCTTTGAAGAGATGGCTCCACGCCTGTGCCCTGAGGTAGCTGCAGAAGAGGACTCTGGGCAGCTAGTTCCACCTTGTGATTGTTGCACCCAGGAGGACACAGGGCTGGAGAGCAGCCGTGACTTGTCCCGAGTCACACTGCTTGTCAGCAACACACACTTCACAGTGATTATCTGGAATGCTCTGCGTGGCTTCCTTCTGTCTCAGGCCAAAGCAAAGCCTAACGTGTCTTAGTTAGCATCAGCACACAGGGTTCTATGTCTGCACTCCGTGCTACCAGCGTTTCCTTATTGAGTCTTTGGTCTAATCCACAGCAGTCACTGGACGCCCCTGTGTTGTCCCAGCACTGAGGACAACCATGGATATAACCCAGACTGCAAACCAGGCACTGTGCCCTCAGTACATTTTACGTGATGCCCTGGGAAGGAATCCAACTCTTCAGTCATTTTGTAGGTGTGGCAACAGAAGATGAAAAAATAAGGCGTGTCCCAGGTTACAAAGATACGAAATGGGAGAATTTAGGAAAACCTTATCACCATCAAGACCTCTGCTGCAGCTCTGTGTGGCCTTGGGCAAGTTACTTAAACCCCCCTTTGTCCACACTTCCTTCTGTGAAATGGAATAACAGTAGTAGCTGCCTTAACAGATGTGGTGAGGATTATTAATGCTTGTAAAGTGCTTGGAAGAATGCCTGGCACATAGTATGAGCTCAATAATGCCAGCTTTAAACAGAACAAACAAAACAAAACATGGTACAGTTTTGTCTGCTTCCAAAGCTTGCACTCTGCTACTCCCTGCTGCCTCTCAAGGAATCAGGGAATTGAATTCATACATAGAAACCCAGAACGAGACTGAAGATCACAAAGCATCGGAAAGCGTGGCCTCCTTAGAAAAAGCACTCACTCACAGATACACACACACACACACACACACAGAGCTACTTTTAATAGCTGGTAAGAGCCAGAGGAAATCCAATTACAGATGAATCAATCGATTAAAAAGAAAGGGGGAAGAATAAAGGAAAGAATGTTGGAGAGACACAGAGTCAAATTACAGCCAGATAATGGAATTATGGGGTCTACAGAACAAATTGGGAGAAACAGCAAAGGGATTCGGGCCGGGAGCTTGTTCACAGCTCTGTAAGGAGCTGATTCTTTCTCAGCCCCTAAAATGCAAAAGATCAGATTCGGGCCAATGCTGGAAGCCAGGGAGCTGCCTGGACTGCACAGAACCGGGGTTGTCTGTGTGCAAATCATATTTTACAGAGAGAAGATCCGCGGCAAGCAGCTTCTGGAGCAAGGGGGTCGTGTTTGGCTCCTGCACATGCTCACAAAGGGCCCAGATGCAGGCAGTCCTCAGTCCTCGGTCTGCAAAAGTAGAGCCAGGCTTCCTAATTTTGTTTCCTGAGAAATTTTGCCTTTGCTGTCAATGAAACATCTCATAGTTAAGTACAGTTTCTTAAAGAAACATCGCACAGTTAAGTACTATTTATTTCTTGCATACAAACACTTGGGAAAAAAAAACACGTGCACTTTTAATTTTATTTTCTATTTCTGGGGAAGGGGGTGATGAGAAGAAGGTGGGGCTGTTAATCCAGCGACAACCAGTACAGCTGTGTCTATTATTGGTGGGTTCTGGAGTAACATCCGTTTCCAAGTATTTATGGAAAGGCGTCCTTAACTAGGCCACATAAAGAGCCAGCGCATCTATAAATAAATTAGGGAGGCTGCGTGGCGCAGGCGGCTGCCCGGCTCCCGAGCCCCGCCGGCCCTGCAGCGCAGCTGTCCCTTTGTGCCCGGCTTCCTCGGCTCCATTGTCGGCGAAATCGCACCGGAGCTGGGCGGCGTGTGCGGGGGCGGGGATTGGCTCCGCCGCGAAGGTGGGCTTCTCCGCGGGCTGTGGCCCCAGCAGCGCAGGTGACCTGGAGGCGGTCAGCTCCTAGGAGCAGCTGCACCCAGCCCAGGCTGTAACAGATGGTGGTGGAGGACAGCACAAGACGACAAGAATGACAAAAGAACCCTGACCCAAGGGGAGCAGGGCAAGAATGAGGGACAGTCTTCCAGAGCGTGGGAGCCCGGTCCTTCGTGTCCACCTGCGAATGGACGCGGCTGCTACCCGGCTGCTCGCTCTGGGGCAGGCGTGAAAGACTGGAGCCCTACCGGCGGGTTCTTTCCCGTATGCTCAGTAAGGAGGTCTGAAAATCTTCACAATAAAATACAACAAGCAGTGCTTCCCGCTGGAGACGGGAGCAAAGGGCTACTTGTGCTTGGCCCTCATTTCTGGATCTTGCAGGAATCGTTCCTTGGGAGGCATCTCGTCCTCGAATGCTGGCACATGAATGGGCAGCACTGGTATATCCCAGGGAATAAGCGGATGCTCAGGACCCCAGGCCCACTGGATCAGAACCCGCAGCTTTGCAGGATCCCCTGGGGTTCCTCCTCACATCTCATCTGAGAAGTGCTCATTCATAGAAATTGGTATTACTTTTATCTGCACCTTAGGATCACCTGGAGTTAACGGGGTGACTTGTGTAGGGCAGAATGTGCGTAAAGTCCCCACCCCCGGTGCCTGTGAATGGGTCCTTACTTGGGAACCGGGTCTTTTTAGATAATCAAGTTAAGACGAAGTCATTAGAACAGACTCTAATCCCGTAAGACTGCAGCCTTGTGAAAAGGGGAAATCCGGACACCCAGACAGAGACGCGCACATAGAGCATGTCCCAGGAACACGAAGGCACAGAGGGCGGTGATCTATCCACAAGGGAAGGAGTGCTGAGGATGGCTGACACCCACTGGGTGCTCGGAGGGAGAGCAGGAGGGAGCAGGCTTTCCCTTGTGGCCTTCGGGGACAACCCACCCTGCCAACACTGATCTCTGGCTTCTGGCCTCCAGAACTGTGATGGATTTCTACTGTTTCAGCCACCAATTTTGTTATCCTGTTGTGGCAGCCTTAGCAGACTGATACGCCTGACTACTTCTAAGGACAACCCTGGTCTCTGAGCTTCGTCTGAAACATTTGCCGTCAAAACACCTAGTGGTGGGGTCACAGGCCTGCGTTTCCTGAACATTCACTGTGAGATTCTAATGCAGTGCAGTGTTTGGAAACTAAGGACTCCTGTCCGTCCATCACCCAGTTCTTGCTTCTGCTTTCCGGGTCCTACCTAAACATGGAAGCGTGTAAGGACCAATCTGTTTGGAAACTGCCTACGGTGGACACACATTAATGGAGCAATGCATGCCATCTACCATAGAAATGTCCAATTGTGTAGAGCAATTTTTGAATGAAGTCAAAACTGCCTATGACCGGCGCCGTGGCTCAATAGGCTAATCCTCCACCTTGCGGCGCCGGCACACCGGGTTCTAGTCCCGGTTGGGGCGCCGGATTCTGTCCCGGTTGCCCCTCTTCCAGGCCAGCTCTCTGCTATGGCCAGGGAGTGCAGTGGAGGATGGCCCAGGTGCTTGGGCCCTGCACCCCATGGGAGACCAGGAAAAGCACCTGGATCCTGGTTCCTGCCATCGGATCAGCGCGGTGCGCCGGCTGCAGCGGCGGCCATTGGAGGGTGATCCAACGGCAAAGGAAGACCTTTCTCTCTCTGTCTCTCTCTCTCACTGTCCACTCTGCCTGTCAAAAAATAAAAAACAAACAAACAAACAAACAAAAAACAAAAAAAACTATGATTTTTTTTTCCATTACAAAGATAAGAAACTGATACTCTGAGGGGTTGCGTGACTTGCCCAAGGCCGTCCAGTCC